GGTTTCACCATGTTGGTCAGGCTGGTCTCAAACTCCTGACCTCAGATGATCCGCTTACCTCGGCCTCTCAAAGTGCTGGGATTACAGGCATGAGTTACGGCGCCCAGCCCCAAAATACTTTTTAAATAAGGTATCTTTTTTTCTTTAAACTGTTGTGGGTATTTTGTCATATGGCATATTTTTTAAATGGCTTAAAATGCTGTTGTATTATTCCAGGTTGCCATATGCTGGGTGAAATCATGTATTGGCATTTCAGTTATTCAGTTACACAAGAATTTCCCATTTCAGTCATTGATATGATTGTCTATTTTATTTATGTATTTGTTGGGCTGGACTGCTGTTTTATCTTGCATCTTGGATGTTCTTCACATTATCCTGTTTGTTTTTTCATCAAAGCAGGAGAAGTCAGAGTCCAGTCAGGTGCATTAGACCCAGTGTTCTCGGTCCTCTTAAAAGAAAAGGTATGTAGCAGCATGGTGACTATAGTTAGTGCTACTGTGTCATATACTTGAAATTTGCTAAGAAAGTAGATCTTAAGTGTTTTTACCACACACATACAAAAGGTAACTAGGTGAAGCAAAAGATGTGTTAAAAACTTGACTGTGGGCTGAGCACAGTGGCTCATGCCTGTAATCCCAATACTTTGGGAGGCCAAAGCAGGTGGATCACCTCAGGTCAGGAGTTCAAGACCGGCCTGGCCAATGTGGCGAAACCCTGTCTCTACTAAAAATACAAAAATTAGCTGGGCGTGGTGGTAGGTACCTGTAATCCCAGCTACTCGGGAGGCTGAGGCAGGAGAATCACTTGAACCTGGGAGGCGGAGGTTGCGGTCAGCTGATACCGCACCACTGCACTCCAGCCTGGGCAACAGAGTGAGACTCCATCTCAAAAAAAAAAACAAAAAAACCTTGACTGTGATCATCATTTCACATTATGTACATACATCAGATCATCACATTGTATACCTTAAATATATGTAAATTTGTTTGTCATTTATACCTCAGTAAAGCCGGGGGGGAAAAGAAAAAGATAAGCATCACGCTTCTGGTCTTAAACCTAGCCAAGCTTGAATTAAAAACTAGAACTCCCGTCTGAAATGAGCTAACAGCATTGCCCTCTTGTGTTTTAGGGAAACTCAAAAGTATTCTTCCGAATGTTTGCTCTACTGATTTTCAATTTTGTAAATGAGTTATTTGATACATCTGTATTTTCTTATACTCCATAAGTTTTATTCATATATTCATTATCATTATATATTCAAAAAATTGCCTCTCAGTTATCTAAATATGAAAGAGATGCATAGTTTATAAACTGCAGAAATATATGCTAATGCTGTATCAAACATCCATAAATGTGCTATATACTCAAATATAAGGTGAGGTTTACCCCCTCATCAAATTATGCCTCATCAAAGCAAGAATTGCCTTATATTCAATTCTGTAGTTTTTTATATAACAGGGTGCTCTCAGTTACCTTGTTTTGAACCACAAAGCAGTAGGCTAAAATAGTTTAGTATCAATCAACACTAGTGCTAGATGCTTATAAAGGGCACCTGATGGCATCTCTTTAAAAAGGCAACACAGGTCTGTAATCCCAGCACTTTGGGAGGCTGAGGCAGGAGAATTGCTTTGAGCTCAGGAGTTTGAGATCAGCCTGGGCAACATGACAAAACCACATCTCTACAAAAAATACAGAAATTAAGCAGGCATTTGGTGGCTTGTGCCTGTTGTCACAGCTACTTGGGAGGCTGAGTCTGGAGAATTCCTTGAGCCCAGGAAGCAGAGGTTGCAGTGAGTCGAGATCACAGCCTGGGCCACAGAGTGATACCCTGTCTCAAAAAAAAAGCAACGCAGGTTTTTGTCTGTTTTTTGAGACCACATTTCACTCTTGTTGCCCAGACAGGAGTGTAGTGGCGTGAGCTTGGCTGACTGCAACCTCCACCTCCTGGGCTCAGCGATTCTCCTGCCTCAGCCTCCCGAGTAGCTGGGACTAGAAGTACCCACCACCACGCCTGGCTAATTTTCTGTATTTTTAATAGAGACAGAGTTTCACCATATTGGCCAGTCTGGTCTTGAACTCCTGACCTCAGGTGATCCACCTGCCTCGGCCTTCCAAAGTGCTAGGATTACCCCACCACACCCAGCTGGCAACACAGGTTTATTCATTATTCCTGGGGATATGACTACACGATTGCAAGTGTCAGGTGTCATTTTAAACGAGTCTTAACAATAACTTTTTTTTTTTTTTTTTTTGAGGCAAGATCTCACTCTGTCTCTCATGCTGGAGTGCAGTGGTGTGATCTCAGCTCACCGCAACCTCTGCCTCCTGGGTTTAAGCGATTCTCCTGCCTCAGCCTCCCAAGTACCTGGGATTACAGGAGTACGCTACCATGCCCAGCTAATTTTTGTATTTTTAGTAGAGACAGGGTTTCGCCATGTTGGCAACGCTGTCCTTGAACTCCTAGTCTCAAGTGATCCACCTGCCTGGGCTTCCCAAAGTGCAGGGATTACACAGGTATGAGCCACCACGCCCAGCCATTAACAATAACTTTTTTTTTTTTTTTTAATTGAGACGGAGTCTTGCTTTGTCACCCAGGCTGGAGTGCAGTGGTGCGATCTTGGCTCACTGCAACCTCTGCTTCCTGGGTTCAAGTTATTCTTCTGCCTCAGCCTCCCAAATAGCTGGGATTACAGATGTGCACCACCATGCCCAGATAATTTTTGTATTTTTAGTAGAGATGGGGTTTTTGCCATGTTGGCCAGGCTGGTCTCAAACTCCTGACTTTAGGTGATCCACCCGCCTCGGCTTCCCAAAATGCTGGGATTACAAGCATGAGCCAACCGCGCCTGGCCAACTGTACTTTTAAAAGCAATTCAGCAAGTGGTTTCTTTGTGCAGATCACGTTCAGGGCCAATAAACAGACCAACTTTTCTAATGTTAGGGGTACAGGTATTTGTGGCTTTGAAAACTTTCCAGTCATAGGATCATACACAGATTCCAAAAGTGCTGTGTTTCAAACAACTTAAAATTAAAGATCTTGTGCTCTGGAAAATCGTTCCTGATATGGTGACAATATTTGTATTTAATATATAAATTTTATCTTTATAAACAGTTTTTCCTCAATCTTGTAGGGAGTTATTTGTAGTCCTAGGAATGTTCTCAGTAGCTAGTAAGTGAAAATAACAGTTGGAAATAAAGCTATTATTGTTGTTATTATTACTAACTTAAAATTTGTTGCAGGAAGTTGAAGGAATTAGCATGGTAGTTTAGTTTTACAGCTATTCCAAAATACACCAGCAGATGGAGGAATTCTTTGCTCAAAAGAGCTAAAGGCTTTTACTAGTGAGGCAAACTCAAAAGCCCAGCAGCAACTTTTAAAAGCTGCATATTAAAGCATGGAAAATAACAACTTTTGCAGATTTTCAGCAATTTTCAGAATAGTCCCAGAGGAAAGATAACTAATTGATAACATGGACAAAATGAATGTTGCGTTTGTTCTTGCTTAATCTTTTTTCATTCTAAGAATCTTACACAGTTTTAAGTTCAAAGTTACTAATTTTCTACTGGAGTATAGACAGGCTCATGAATTAAATTGTCTTGAACATTCCGTTTTCAAGCTCAGATGAAGAGCTTCAGAACCAAGGAATGTATATGTTTTAAATAACATCAGAGCCTGATTTTAAAGGAGATTATTCTAACTTAGGGTTTTACTTTTTGTACTCCTGGTAGCAAAATGTTAGGCAGTATCCCTGTTGGTGCAAAGTTTTTCTATTAGCAATTCCGAGAAAATCTGTAAGATTGAGGTGGTCAGTACAATAAAAATTTTGTGAATTGAGTAAGATTTGCTTTTGATTACAGATGTATTTTCAAACTTATCTTTTTAATCTTCATTTTCATTAAATAGTGTGAAAGCAACTTTTTACTTATACACTACTTATCATTTTTTAACCAGTTTGACACCATCTTAGGAAATGTTCAGATATCAAAATGTATAAAACCAATAGGCCTTGCTAACCATGTAGCATACAATATTCACTGTGAGTGTCCGCTATTTGGGAATTCTTTATCTCTACTGTGGTCAGCCTTGCTTCATTTTGCCTGATGCAGTCAGTGTTCTACTGTCCTATTAATGTGAATATGTCCATAGCACGCTGTGGATAATGAGTGAGAAGCTTTTTAGGGCTGCCGACTTTTTGGTTGAGTTTATGTGGAAGCATATTTCTTCCACGTTAAAGCACATGGGAAAGTAGTTTTAAGCAGTGGTTTGAAGAAGTATTCTGAGCTTTGGTTAAACAAAGGTCATCCTATTTTAGCACCACGCCTGTATTTGTAAAATTGTTTTATAGTAGCATCATCTCTTTCTGTTTTAGGTGAAATGGAGACAGAAAGTCAGCCCAAGAGACTCTTCCAAGGCACTACCAATATGTTATCTCCAGATGCCGCGCAATTGTCTGATCTCAGTTCATGGTAAAAAATGAAATAAAATGAAAAGTATATTAGAGTATAATCCATTTTAAAAGAGCCACATGGAAAGTATATTGGGATAATTTAAAATATTTTCAACTTCTTATCCATGCTCCCACGAAGGGGAAATCTCTGTGGAGGATAATGTGAAAAAACAGATTATTTTAAAGTCAAGAGCATTTCGTTTGGAAATGTATATGTCTTTCTGACACCTTCGCTTTCGTTCCCAGCTCCTGTTAGGTCAGCCTGTCATTAGTTGCCAATGGTGTGGCAGTGCCAACTGCTGGCTGGTGTGAGAAAGAGTCTCTGGGTGGCTGTGGGTAATGTGTACTGATTGTAGCTGCTCTGCCTGCATTTTGTATCCAGTCCTTTCAGCTTAGCAGAGAATAGTAGGATTCTCTTAAGCATAGTATTCTCTGATTAGCATTATCTATTGTTATCTTTTTGAAAATTATGAAATATTTTGTCACAGTGCTAAGGTTTCATTTTTATAATAACATTTCCTGATTCCTACGGTCTAGTCACACACATGTTTTTAAAATCTTACTCATCCTAGTTTAGGTCTTTAAGGGCCTTCAGTGTTTTCATGAGAACGTTAACTTCTTTTCCTATACCTGAAGTTGAGCACTTGAGTGCTTATGTACATGTGGGAAGGAAGGGGAAGGAATAAGTAGCAGTGACCAGGTAATATTTTGAAATCTTTCAGTATGTTCTGATCAACTCACTGAATACTTGCGTAATCAATTGTGTACTGTTGTTCAGAATTTTTTTTGTTCCCTGAGTTTTACAGCTGAGGATTTTTTTTTTTTTTTTTTTTTTTTTTTTGAGATAGACTTGCTCTGTTGCCCAGTCTGGAGTGCAGTGGTGTGATCTCAGCTCACTGCAGCCTCTGCCTCCCAGCTTCAAGAGATTCTCCTGCCTCAGCCTCCCGAGTAGCTGGGACTACAGGCACGGGCCACCATGCCTAGCTATTTTTTTTTTTTTTTTGTATTTTTAGTGGAGATGGGGTTTCGCCATGTTGGCCAGGCTGGTCTCGAACTGCTGACCTCAGGTGATCCCCCTCACCTCGGCCTCCCAAAGTGCTGGTATTACAGGTGTAAGCCACCGTGCCTGGCCTGAAGGTCTTTTTAAAAAGCCCACGAGGTCACTCACTTTAAAAATAGCAAGATCATACCCTCTAAATGGAAAAAGTGTATAAGCCACTTATAAGCTATAAAGATGGACGATCCCTTCTTCCCAAATCACTTATTCATTGTTCCATGTGAAATAACCTGTACTTCTAGTTGACCAAGAAGTCACAGATTATTCTAGTTTGTTAGTCTTTTTGATCAGTACTATTCTAACCTTGGAACAGATAGATGCCTTTTAGAATTGTTCTAGCTATTTTCAACCCCATGGTCTCTTTTTTCCTCTCATCTCTGTATGTCCTTGCGACTTCAGTGTGCTAATTTTGGTACAGAGTGCCTTTCCAGGTATGTAGATGATGGAAAAGAGAAAACTTCTGAAGCTTGTCAAGAGGACTATTGGGTGAAACTCTATCCTTAGTGGAAAGTGCATATCACTTTTATGGCAAAGTGTTTTAATATAGGCACATGACTATAAATAGGTTTGCTTACCTAGTTACTAACCAAGTGACCAAGTTAAGTAAAATATATGACAGCATTTTACCAAGCTGAAAACATACAGGGTGAGGTGACTTATTTTTATATTGTCTTTGGCTGACAGTGCAGGATGCGTAAAACAGGTTCATGCAAGTAAGTAAGAAAGGAAAGAGAAGGTGCAGTATTTACGAAGGGTCTTCTCTCATTGTCCAGACATTTATTCCTCTGAGCAGCACAACCTAAACCATCTCTAGCAGTGGCTATTGTGAGGCTTCTATTTCCTTGTCACTACTCCCCTATCCCGTAGACCCATGAATGGCTAGGAGAGCCCTGGAAATGTCAACATTGGTGATGAAGGAAACTTTTATTTTATTTTAATTGTTTTGAGACAGAGTCTCGCTCTGTTGCCCAGGCTGGAGTGCAGCAGTGCAATCTTGACTCACTGCAACCTCCGCCTCCCGGGTTCAAGCGATTCTTCTGTCTCAGCCTCCTGAGTAACTTGGATTACAGGTACGTGCACCACACCCGGCTAATTTTTGTATTTTTAGTAGATATGGAGTTTCTCCATGTTGTCCAGGTTGGTCTTGAATTCCTGACCTCAGGTGACCCACCCACCCTGACCTCCCAAAGTGTTGGGATTACAGGCGTGAGCCACTGTGCCTGGCCAACTTTTGATTCTTAAACATAAAAAGCTGTTGTGGTGCGGTGGCTCATGCCTGTAATCCCAGCACTTTGGGAGGCCGAGGCAGGCAGATCAGGAGGTCAGGAGATCAAGACCATCCTGGTTAACACGGTGAAACCTCGTCTCTACTAAAAATACAAAAAAAATTAGCCGGGCATGGTGGCAGGTGTCTATAGTCCCAGCCACTCAGGAGGCTGAGGCAGGAGAATGGCGTGAACCCGGGAGGCGGATCTTGCAGTGAGCGGAGACCGCGCCACTGCTCTCCAGCCTGGGTGACAGAGCGAGACTCCGTCTCAAAAAAAAAAAAAAAAAAAAAAGTTGTTGCTTCACACAAGAGACACTTGCTTTATTCACAGCCACTCATAGAGTGTCAACAAGCCAAGTGTGGTTCAAGTAATCTGCAAAAGAAATCTGTTACTCAAAATTCACAAAACTAAGTGTCAAAGATAGTTAAGTCATTAAACTTCCAGATGATGTTTTTAGTCAGTTTGCAGCAATTGTACTTCTGAGGTTATTAAAGCTTAAAATTGTGCTGAGACTTTGGGAACACCTTATATATTAATGATGCTGACATTTTTTGCCTATAATTAAGAGATTTTTAAATATGATTTATTTCTTTTATATAAAAACTGGATCCTGGCCAGGCATGGTGGCTCACACCTGTAATTCCAACACTTTGGGAGGCCGAGGTGGGCGGATCACTTGAGGTCGGGAGTTCAAGACCAGCCTGGACGACATGGTGAAACACCTTCTCTACTAAAAACACAAAAACTAACCGGGCGTGGTAGTGCATTCCTGCAATCCCAGCTACTCTGGAGGCTGAGGCAGGAGAATTGCTTGAACCCGAGAGGCAGAGGTTGCAGTGAGCCAGGATCGCACCACTAGACTCCATCCAGCCTGGGCAACAGAGCGAGGCTCCGTCTCAAAAAAAAAAAAAAAAAAATCTGGATCCTGCTTTTGCGGAAACTTTTTTTTGAGACGTAGTCTTACTCTTGTTACCCAGGCTGGAGTGCAATGGTGCAATCTCCACTCACTGCAACCTCTGCCTCCCGGGTTGAAATGATTCTCCTGCCTCAGCCTCCCGAGTAGCTGGGATTACAGGCATGCACCACCACACCCGGCTAATTTTGTATTTTTAGTAGAGATGGGGTTTCTTCATGTTGGTCAGGCTGGTGTCGAACTCCCAACCCCAGGTGATCCACCCGCTTTGGCCTCCCAAAGTGCTGGGATTACAGGCGTGAGCCACCATACCTGGTCTTTTTTTTCTGTTGTTGAGACAAGATCTGGTCTATTGCCCAGACTGGAGTACAGTAGTGTGATCATGGCTCACTGCAACCTCTGTTTCCTGGGCTCAAGCCATCCACCCACCTCAACCTCCCGAATAGCTGGGACTACAGGTGTGCACCATCTCGCCCAGCTAATTTTTCTGTTTTTGTAGAGACCGAGTTTTGCCATGTTGCCCAGGCTGGTCTTGAACTCCTGCCCTCAAGTGATCTGCATGCCTTGGCCTCGCGAAGTGTTGGGATTACAGGCATGAGCCACTGCACCCAGCCTCTTTTATCTCTTTAATGCAGTTTTATTAATCAGAATCAGACATTCATATTCTTAGAAATGGGGCTAGAGATAGGAATCTGGCTGTGTTCTGGTTTCTGCTACCAAGGTTGGCAACCTACTTGATAACAAAACTAAGGAATCTGTGCTAGGCTTGATAGGGCTGTGGCTAATTTTTTATTTATTTACCTACCTGCTATTAATCTGATAGAACTCAGCTTATTGACTGAACAAGGCACAAAGTGGTTGAGCCAGATGGGGTGATAACATGAATCAAACCGAATATCTTAGTTTTGTGATTACTTTTATCATTGGATGGTTTTAATGATTTGCTATTTTAATGAAACTACAGAAACAACTGCCCTCTATCTTTTAGAGAGCAGAAAAAGGATCAGATCGTTAGATGTTATCTTGTCATTTAAATATTTATAGTTTATTCCCTGCCCCACCCAACAAAAGGAGAGATGGCTTTTATAGCCTTTAAAGTTTATATACTAGATAACAATCTTTAAAATCTGACATCTTTTGAAGCATAAATTAAGTTTGAAATTTGAGTGTGGACCCATTTGGAGTTTGTGTCCAGTTAGGCATACTTTTTATTTCTTTTTTTTTTTTTTTTTTTTTTTTTTTTTTTTGCTAAATGAAAATTCCCAAATCTTTGCCAACCAAATCTAGAGGACATTATCAACCATAAGGCAGGAGTTATGTCATTCTGCATTTAATCCTTATGGACATCAAAATTTGAGCATAACTCAGAAGTCTACCTTTGCCTGTGCTTTGATTCTTTCTGCATGTTGGGAGCTCTTAATCTGCTCTTCATTCTGTTGGGAGTGAGACTGTGTGTGTCTGCAGCATACTATATAAAATAAAGGAGTTTTCAGGGCTGCTGGCCATACGGTGACGATTAAATGATAGTGTCTGTCTTTTTTATGAAAGGAAAACTTATGAATTTTCTTACCCCGTGCATCAGTGTTAATGTGATAGTTTTAACACGTTTTTTTGTTAAATTGGTCTTAGTGGTTCTAACACTATTTTTAATGTTATATGTGTCATGCCAAAATTTCATGAATATGTGACAAGTACAAAAAATAAGTTTTAATCATTAATAGGAATGTGTATGTCTGTACACATCTCTAAAGTACACATGTATACACACACACACACACACTTTAGAGATGTTTATGTGAGCAACTTAGACATCTGTGCTGATAGTTTAAAACTCCTGTCTACCTTCACCATAAAAATGAGCAAGTTAAAAACAAAACAAAACACTCCTGTCCTCAGCATGACTGCGGACTGATATTTAAATATGTGATCTTAAAAACTTAGAGGTCATTCAGAAGGATGATACTAGGACCCTTAAGCTAAGATAGTAGAGACCAGAGAACATGCCATATATATCAGTTTAACCCACAGCAAGGGGTGTGGGGATGCCCTACAGTCATACCTTATACCAAAATCTGTGCTAGGCTTGATAGGACTGTGACTCATTTCTAACGCATTTACCTGCCTGTCATTAATCTGATAGGACCCAGCTTATTGACTAGACAAGGCACCAAGTGGCTCAGCCAGATGGGGTGATAGCATGAATCACACTGGACATCCTACCTTTGTTATTACTTTATCATTGGACTCTTTTAATGAGTCACTCATACTTCATCCTTAGTTTTTCTAGACAGAGGGCATTACCTTAAGTCATAAGTACTTTTGGTTGTGTGGTTCAAATATTGCCTCAATATGTATATTCAGTGGCTGGAACGCATTCGTTCAGTTTTGATTCAGGGATTCCTGTGTCCAATTTGAATTGTCTAGATCCTTTTTTACTATTGTCTGGCTTTCGGCCATTAGTGTAAGTAAGGCTCATTAGCACTTCCATCAGAGCTTAAGCTAGGAAAGAAAGATGAACTCAGATTAGTCCAGACCTCGTTGCTTTTAGAAGCTCTGGTAGAAGAGTTAATAGTAGACTCTGTGAAAATTACTTTTGTGCAGTGATGTTGCTGTGGGTTAAAAAATCATGTAAGTCTTACTTGACATGGATAGAATAACAATGAGTGATTTGTGACGTGAAGTCTCTGCTTCCATGACCATGAGTAATTGTGCCAGATTAATTCAAACGGAAACTAGATTTTAGTTAAGTGAAAATGTCTAGTTAAAGATTTACCAAGTTCTGAGTCTAAATTGCAGTGGAGACTAAATGTAAGTGTGCTATTTTCTGTTAATGAACAAAATTATATACATTTATATTTTAATAATAGGGAAGACATTCTGAAATGAAATGTTCAGGGCTTTTTTTTTCTGATCCTCCATTAGCTTATTTCTCTTAAGGTAATCAGCAGTGTTAGAAGTCAAATTTCACTGCATGAGTCCTGTTGTGTGTTTTTGAATGAATACAGGATTCACCCAAGCAGGCAGGCCTTAATTACAAATGGAATCTTTTAACCCAGGACTCACCGTAAGTCTGGTGGTTGGAATAAAGAATTCTTTATTTATATTCAGATTATCTGCTTGGTGGCCAAGTGTTAATCTAAGCCCATTTCTTCCTGCCAAGTGGCATAGAGCGTGTCCTTCGGCTGCCCGGCCAATATGTGCTTTAGGAAAGTAAATTCATTTTAATATTACTCTAGGCAAAAAGCTGCAGAAGGAAAAATCGCATATGTTCCAAAGGCAAATAGAAAGGTCTTTTGATTTTCCAGTGTCTTGGATTATCTGTGCAACTTCCTTTCAGTAGTTTGAGTAATTCATATTTTAGATCCATTTCGCCATTTGGTTGAAAAAATATCAGAGCCAGCTAAAATTTCCAAACTTCTTACTTAAAAGTGATATTATTAATGATGCATTTGACAGCAGTGAGTGTAGAGTAGGAGTAGTGTGGAATATACTGTTTCCATTTTTACTTTTACTTTTCTGAAGCCTATTTGTAGTCTGTCTCCACCTAAAAACAATCCACAAACAAGAGAATGAAATGACATTTCAAAGAAAAGTAGAAGAGTAGAGAAGCAAGGGTGGGGGCGATATATTTCATTGAGGGTAGTACAGGGCCCAGAAACTTTCCAATGTACCATAGGTTACTTTTAACACTAGAAATACATTAACTTGGAAATTCAGAAAAATGATAATATTAAAGACTCCCAACATTTTCGACTCAGCATGTTAGACTGGAATGGGCTTTTTCAAAGGAGTTAGAGACCAAAGTTAAAACTAGAACCCGTGTTTCCTGATTTCCATAACTCCTTCTCCAATTCTGTGCTTTTTTCCTTTTCAAAAATAAAAAGTGTGTAAATTCTAAAACTGCCCAATTACCTCTCCCGCTTTGTCTGTCACTGTCTTTTCTTCACTCTCTATACCCCAGCCACAATAGTCTGCTTTTGTTTGGTTCCTAGAACTATCCTTGCTTCCTCCCAAATCTTAACTAATTAATGCCTGCTCATCCTTCAGATGATAGCACATATCATCTCTGGGGAACCTTTTCTCATTCCTCCAAATTAGATTAGGTTACCCATGTTATATATTCTCATAGCCCCTTGTATCTTTCCTTTATCACTTTTATTGCAAATTATAATTACATATTTATTAGCATGGTTATTTGAATGTCTGTCTCCTGCACAATACTGTAAATTCAATGAGGGCTGGGACCACGTCTGTTTTAAACACTGTTGTATTTCTAATATCTAGTGTGCTTCCTGCACTTGGCAGGCACTCAGTAAATATTAGAATAAGTGAATGATTGAATTCAGGGCAAATAGAAAGCATAGATCTTATTATTTGATTGATAGAAATCAAAGCCAGAAAGGCAGCTTGATGCCAGACTGTAAAAGCTCTCATTTCCCTGCTGAAGTATGGAGCCAGATTCATGAGTCAGGCCAGGTTGATGGTTGGGAACAGTGAGCCCCTGGGCTGGATAGGGAAGGAATCCCTGGGCTGGGTATAGAGGTTCTTGATGTCCAGATCTGGAGTTTTACTGGAAGGATAGGAACAGGTGCCAGTTGTCAGGATAAAGAGGCAACAGACAATGGGTACTGAGACCATGAGTGTAGATTATTCATTGTAGAAGCTTAACTGGAGAATAACTGAAGGGATCAAAGAAACGGACTCTTCTAGAAATAGACCTTTGGGTTTTGAAAGCAAGAAGAAAGGAAACAGTGTAAGGAATTATAAATGGCATAGAATTGGAGGGGGAAATCATTTAAAAATGTGTTTGAATTGAAGGCCCTTTGGGAGTGGGGAAGTGATCAACTCTAGGGGAGTTGAAAGACTTTGTTTTAGAGTAGAGGAACTATGAGGCAGTGTACTTGATCGAACACCTCTGATAGTCCGAGTATGGTTACCTCAGTAAGTAACTACTCCTCTTGCTTCAAGCCTGATGGGAAGATAAAAAGATAAACATAAGGATAGAAATTTCTTGAGCTGAAGTGAAGGAACCTCCCTCCCAAAAACCATGGCATGTCAAGAGGAACATTTATTGTAGGTTGGATGGTCTGGTGCCTCCAGGGGGGACAATCAAATGATACAGGACCTCGAAGAGTCTTACTTTGGATTTTTGTGGCTTTATAATGTAGTATATTATGTAGTTCATTGCTGTGGCTTTATGCTTTTTTATTATTTACAAGTGATCTACTGATTTGTGAGCTCTTGAAACTGTGTCATTGCATGTTACGTTTACCCTGATAGTTGCATTTGCTTATAATTCTTTTTGCTTTGTCTTCAGTTCAGATATTTTGGATGGCAGTAGTAGCAGCAGTGGCTTATCCTCAGACCCACTGGCTAAAGGCAGCGCTACCACAGAGTCTCCAGTAGCATGCTCCAATTCATGCTCTTCGTTCATCTTGATGGATGATCTCTCACCCAAGTGACTTAACCATTTCTGATTCAACGTTTTAACTGCTGTTTCCTACATAAAATGTTTAGTGGGGAACACAGAGAACTTTGATCCATAATGAGGATTAAAGTTTTACAGATTTCACCCATTCTGATGCTATTATTACTCTTTGGCATCTCTCTTCTCCAAAGTTCAATTTTATGAGCCTAATGACCTTAGCTAATAATCTGGTTTTGCTGATCTCATTTTGGATTTAGTGATTAAATCTCAACTGCTCATTTTTGATTGCTTAGAGGAATTTTTTTTTCCTTAGTGCCTCAACACCTATTTTGAGTTTATACATTTAAGAAAGGCACTGATACGTATTGCCTTTAATGGTTCTTTTCCGCAGCAGTGATACGACAGATTTGATCAGAAATTCTCTTGCTTGAGAGATTTTTTTTTTGTTCTTTGTTGACTACATAGTTTCAAATCTCTATTTCATGATAATATATAAATTGCTTTTAATTATATTAAATTTTTATTTTTCTGCATCAGCTTAAAGTACATTATTTTGTTTCCCTTTCCTGTTTGAGCCGCTTACGCCATTTCTCACAGAGGGGAAGAAATACGTAGTTGCTTTCATTACCCTTATTGCTTCTTTGCTGTTGGGGTGTGTGAAGTGAGCATTGATTTTAGTGCTGAGAACGTAAACGGACTTACAGGATGCTTGGATTAGTCACCACAGGTTCTTATGACTTTGCTACCACAGTTGATATATTTCTCCTCAAACCTGTTGCCCTAAGGAATATATAAAATATTGTTGATATTTCTAGGTGGTGTTATCAAGGAGAAGAAATTCCTGCCTTGACCAGATGTGTGGAGCACCTACAAATGAATGAATAGTTATTTACACACAAACCACTGTGTACAAAAGCGTCCATGGAGCTGTCAGTGTCTCGGGTGGCATTATGAGGCCTCAGGTGCCTTGGGGTACATTGTCATGCTATAAGGGATGTATATCATAAGGTATGGTGGAAGAGGGGCCTTATGTGTATGAATGCCACATACTGTTCGTGTTGCTGCTTTTTTTCCGATTCCTTTTTGTCATTGGATTTGTTTGTTTTGTCATGTGGTGTATGGTGTTTCAGTTCATTGTGTTGCCGCCAGAATCAGAGTCCAGTTCTTGTTCATACTGCCTTATAGTTATTGTGTTGCCGCCAGAATCAGAATCCAGTTCTTGTTCATACTGCCTTGTAGTGAGGGCAGTTTAATATCTACAAATAAGCTTTTAGGAGCTGAAGAAGTCAATGTGATTGTGCGTTCTGCTTTTAAGAAGCTGTTTCAGCTATGAACTGTGTACATGCTATAAGTGTGAGGTACCATAAGTTATTTAATTTTTAAAAGAGGAAACTCCTGAGTGAGCTGTTTAAGAAATCTGAGTGTAATCTATTGTTACGTTATTTATAACTAGGTAAAATGTCTGTCGTGATAGATTTCTTTTAATGTTCAGATATTGTGGTTGGGTTGTCTATATTTAATATGCAGATTTGCCTGCTGGAATCATCATAATCCATTTTAAAGTGAATGTAAGAAATGAAAACTACTGCATTTGTGTCTTTTGAAGGCAAAGATCCTTGGATTTTAAAGGAAGATTATGTGCTTTGAAGGCACTCAGAGACTAGTAATAGCATATGGCTTGAAGGGAAACCCATTCTCTTTCAATTACAAGAGAGTATCACTTAGCGTGCAGTAGTTCTATTATAGCATCTGATGTGTCCTTTATTTTAAATTGTAACCATAACAGCCATTAATGGCTTTATTTCTTGTATTGCTCTCATCTGGGAAAAGTCTACTTCTTCAAACGTAACAAATATATCTATTATGAAGCTTGTCCCCTAGTATGCCATTATAAAGAAAAAATTCTTCGATGGTATGCAGTGTATCTATTCTGTTTGTAAAGGATCATGTCAAAATGTTCTGCCTCTATAATGATAATAGATGGTTTTGTCTTTCAGGAGATTTATCCACCTACTGTCTTCTTTGCCTTAAAGGGACACTTGGCCGTCATTTTTAGACTTGAACTTAACACTGTTAAGAAATAACTGAAATATGATGGTACTTACATTAATTTTTGAAATTCAATGGTGGGATAGAATTAGGTCAGGAAATGGAAATTGTTCCAATGGTGTGAGAACTAGGAGACAAGATGATTCACTTTATTATTTAAACCAAGCTTCATTTTTAGTTTTTGTTGTTTAAATGAACTGGAAAGTTAAGTTTTTGCAGGGATTGTTTTGAAATAAAGAGATATGCTAACTCACAGATGAACTTTGTTGATAAGACCCCTTTATTTTTATATAAAGTCTAATATTTGAAAAGTGATTGTTATAAAGTAAAATTCTTTCTTCCTATTCTAATATATATCATTTATTTCAGGCTTCTATTTGAAAACAGGTATAAGAGATGATATGATGGAACCCTATAATGTTTTTTGCTTGATTGACTTATATAATCACTGCTTCATGATTACTGCTTTTGGAATAATAGGAAGTTTTGTGAAATGCTGGTCTTGTGTATATCTTAGAATGCAAATTTAATAAAGTGTGTATACATGCATAAAATTTACTAATGTTTTAAAAATCTGTCCTTTGTTCTTATTAATAATCATTTTCTGCCCTTATATCCCAATAGTTTATTCTCTGTGTCTAATTGCAGGTCAAGCTTTGAATAAAAGGATATCAGAAACACAAAAGAACTAATAGCTATGTTGAAGCTGGGGCTGTTTGCCAAAACGAAGTGAAACCTCTCCACATAATCAAATTCTCAAGAGTATTTTGTAGAATTTGACAATTTAGAAGGTTCTTGCCAGGGTCATACATCTTTCTTCCTCGTTTTCGATTTAGTTTATCTTGTTAAATTTTTTACATATTGATAAGCCTCTATAAATTATTTTTAGAACAAGATTGGGGTGAATAAACAGACAAAAAGGTCCGGGCACGGTGGCTCACGTCTGTAATCCCAGCACTTTGGGAGGCCGAGGTGAGCAGATCACGAGGTCAAGAGATCAAGACCATCCTGGCCAACATGGTGAAACCCCGTCTCTACTAAAAATACAAAAATTAGCCGGGCATGGTGGCGTGCACCTGTAGTCCTAGCTACTCAGGAGGCTGAGGCAGGAGAATCGCTTGAATCCAGGAGGCTGAGGTTGCAGTGAGCCAAGATTGTGCCACTACACTCCAGCCTGGTGACAGAGCGAGACTCCGTCTTAAAATAAACAAAAAACAAACAAAAAAACAAACAAAAACAGGCAAAAAGCCTTTTATGTATGATTCAGATTATTAAGTTTTATCTTCAGTTTCTTTTTTATTTTTTATTTTTTTTGAGGCAAAGTTTTGCTCTTGTTGCCCAGGCTGGAGTGCAGTGGCACAATCTTGGCCCACTGCAACCTCTGCCTCCTGGATTCAAGCAATTCTTCCTGCTTCAGCCTCCTGAGTAGCTGGGAGTACAGGCCCCCGCCACTACGCTTGGCTAGTTTTTGTATTTTTTAGTAGAGACGGGGTTTCATCATATTGGCCAGGCTGGTCTCAAACTCCTGACCTCAGGTGATCTACCTGCCTCGGCCTCCCAAGGTGCTGGGATTACAGGCGCGAGCCACCACGCCTGGCCCTATCTTCAGTTTTTAAGAAATACATGAACTACTTTATTTTAAAATACATTTTGGGCCGGGCGCAGTGGCTCACACATGCAATCCCAGCACTTGGGGAGGCCAAAGCGGGTGGATTGCTTCAGGCCAGGAGTTTGAGACCAGCCTGGGCAACGTGGCAAATCCTCGTCTACTAAAATTACAAAAATTAGCTGGATATGGTGGCATGCGCCTGTAATCCCAGCTACTTGGGAGGCTGACGCTTGAACCTGGAAGGCAGAGGTTGCAGTGAGCTGAGATCGCACCACTGCACTCCAGCCTGGGTGACAGAGCAAGACTCTCTCAAAAAAACAAACAAAAAGAAAAACAACTTTACATTTTGAAATTTGAAATAATTTCAAACTTACAAAAAATTTGCAAGAGTAGCTCAAATAACTCCTATATATCCTTCACCCAGTTTCCTCAATTGTTAACATTTAATCACATTTGCTTTGTCTGTCTGTCTCTCTCCTATATATGCACTATCATTCTGCTTCTCCCTGTGTCTCTCTGTGTGGGGGGGATGTGTATATATATATACACACACACACATTTTTTTTCTGAATCATCTGAGAATGAATTGTAGTTACAATGCCCCATTGCCCTTACATGCTTCAGCGTAAATTTCTTAAAGACAAAGACATTCTACATAACCACATTGTAACTATCAAAATCAGAAAATTAACTGACACAAAACTGCCATTTATTAGTGGCTCGCACATGTAATCCCAGCATTTTGGGAGGCTGAGGTGAGAGGATCGCTTAAGTCCATGAGTTTGAGACCAGCCTGGGCAACACAGCAAGACCCTGTATCTATATATTTTTTTAAATAGATTTTTTTAAACTGCCTCTAATCTACAGACCCATTCAGTTTTTGCCTATAGTTGTGATAATGCCGTTTTTGGCAAAAGGGAAGAGATCGTTTTTTTTTCTTCTAGAGGAAGAGGAGACTTTCTTATCTTAGTAATTGACACCCTCACCCACTCAGCTACTCAAGCCAAGAACCCAGGAGTTAACCTTGACTTGTTGCTTACTTTCATTCCTTGCATGTAATTCTTCAGCGTGACTTCATTCTGTTTCTGAGATATATCTTCTTGCCCTTGTCAAGGAGGAACAATACCAGACATAGTTAGCAAGACAGATTTTATTCAGACTACTTCAGTAGGGGAGAGACCCCTGTTTCTTCTGGAGGAGGCACATGGTGTTACTTTGTCCTGTTACTAGTGATAACCTTGATCCCTTGGATAAGGTGGTGTCTATTGTCTTTTTCCCATTGAAATTAAAGTATTTTGTGTACTTTGAGACTACAAATATCCTGTTTCCTCATTAAACTTTGACCCCCTAGTTTTAGCATTCATTGATCTTTCTTGTCTGATGGTATTATGATGGCTGCCTGATAGTATCATGATGACTACCTAATGCTGGCTCTAATTCCATCATTAATTTGTTAGTTGACATTCTACTGTAAAGAAGAACACACTCTCCTCCACCACTTTGCATCAGTGTGGACTCATGGACTCCCGTTTTAGTTAGTGAGTTTTAATTCATTACCATGATTGTTTTGATATTCAAGTTGCCTCAGATTTGGAAAATGAGGGCCCCTCCAACTCGTCCCTGTGTCCTTTGGACAAATCCCTATCAGTTTCTGAGCAGTTTTTTACTTTTCTGACTCAAGATGTCCCAGATTCATACTTTCCTTGCCCCAGCCACTGGGATCAGCCATTTCTCTAAGTAGCCCCTTGATTCCTTTTAATAGAGAACAGTGTTTAAAAATCAAGTTGGGGAACTAGGTATATTATTGCTATTGGGGCATCATTGTTTAAAGGCCTCAGAGCACAGAGAAAAACACACGTGTATATATGCCATGTAAATGTATATACACATCTATATTTGTTTAGTTCAAACAATACCTCTGAGTTCAAACTATACCTCTGATTCCAATTCAATACCACAGGGTTTATTCCAGTGTTTATCTCAGTGTAATTACTCCTTTCTCCTGTGTGTAACCAATTTCCTACCCTGCCAGCTGGCTACCCAGCCTGCCTCCTCAGCCCCATCCATCTCCTTGGCTCTGACCCTGATGGTCTGCCAGTCTTGGCTGCCTGGATGGAAGGAAGGAAAGAGGAGCTAAGTCCTCAAGTTTTAAATATCCCTGGTTCACACCCACCCCAACCACCACAAGCTCCTTATCTTCTGTGCTTGACTGTTCACAGCTTGGGAATTTCTTACATTCATCAATTTAACAAATGTTTATTGAGCCCTGTGCTGTGAACTGTAAATGCAGATTAATTTCATGCCTTTGGCCTGGCACAGTGTCTCATGCCTGTAATCCCAGCACTTTGGGAGGCCAAGGTAGGTGGATCACCTGAGGTTAGGAGTTTGAGACCAGCCTGGCCAACATGGCGAAACCCTGTCACTACTAAAAATACAAAAATTAGCTCGGTGTGGTGGCATGCCCCTGTAGTCCCAGCTACTCAGGAGGCTGAGGCAGGAGAATTGTTGGAACCCAGGAGGCGGAGGTTGCAGTGAGCCAAGATCATGCCACTGCACTCCAGCCTGGGCAACAGAGTGAGACTCCGTCTCAAAAAATAAAATAAAAAAAAAGCATGCCTTCAAGGAGAGCAGTAGAGCAGAATAGTCAGGTACACTGATTACTGGAAGCACTGATAGAGTGTGTTGGGGAGCATCAAGGGCGAACACCCCCCCTCCCCCGATGCTTCCCAGAAGAGGGAACACTAAGGCTGAATCTTGAAGAACAAACTTGGCATGAGTCAAGGAGTTAGGTAGAGGGAAATAAGATACAGGTGAGAAGAGCACTAAAGCACCATTACAGAAATGCTAGTAATTTGCTAATATAGGAGATGAGGCTGGAGAGGAAAACAGACTTTACTTGTTCTTTGGGGATTTGGGAGTCTTTAGCTTATGTAGGTGGAAGTTATAGCTGTAGATGTAAACAGGGAGATCATCCAGACAAGAAGGTTAGGGACAAAATCCCGACAATCATCAGCATTTAAGAGCTGACGGATCACGAGGTCAAGAGATCGAGACCATCCTGGCCAACATGGTGAAACCCTGTCTCTATTAAAAATACAAAGATTAGCTTGGCGTGGTGGTGTGCGCCTGTAGTCCCAGCTACTCAGGAGGCTGAGGCAGGAGAATTGCTTGAACCCGGGAGGCAGAGGTTGCAGTGAGCCGAGATTGTGCCACCTCACTCCAGCCTGGCGACAGAGTGAGACTCTATCTCAAAAAACAAACAAACAAAAAAAAAGAGGCCGACCGAAGATAAGGGATGGCCTAGATGAAGCAGCTAACAATATCAGTGAACCATAAGGAGGGAGTGGTCTACAGAGTCAATTGAAATGAGGACTGAAATTTTCCCATTAGATCTTAAAATTAGAAGATCCTCTGGAGGCTCTCATTAGTGTACTGTTAGTGAGGCTGAAGGAGCCAAAGTTGAATTGCAGTGGCTTAAATAAGCGGGGGCTTAGGAGATGGAGACAGGAGGGTATGTTATAGTCTGTGTCCATCTGCCAACTTCCTTTTTTCCCTTCTTTTCTTTCCCAACCCTTGCTCAATCATAATACAAACTCTCCCGTTTTCCTTCTGTATCCTCAGCAGCTAGCATCCTGTCCGAAATGGAATAGTCACTCAATAAAATTCTGTTGAACTAAGTAACCCCTTGCTATCCTATCGGAAATAGAACAGTCACTTAATAAAATTTTGTTGAACTAAGTAACCCCACACTATCCTATCTGAAATAGAACAGTCACTCAATAAAATTTTGTTGAACTAAGTAACCCCACGCTGTCCTATCTGAAATAGAACAGTCACTCAATAAAATTTTGTTAAACTAAGTAACCCCACGTTATCCTATCTGAAACAGAATAGTCACTCAATAAAATTTTGTTGAACAAGGTAACCCCACCCTCTAACCTATAGAGGT